AAGCCAACATAAAGTTGGCCATGTGTGAAAACAGGATTAGTTAATACCAAACACACTTTATTAGAAGTTTTGTCTTAGGATTTATTAATGGTCATAGAAAATGCCAAATGTGTAGGGAATTGTTTTCTTTTAAAACTAAAAGGCATATTATTGTCCGATTGGATGAGCGGTATTCTGGGAATTAAAAATGTTTCTTTTGAACTTGACTCAATCATTTCTGCTTCAATAACGTTACGTTGTAGTTTTGTCACTATTAGCTTTGTTGTACAGCAGGCTGCACAGGCCTTTTGAAGGCATCAAATTTTGAAGTAGCATTATTACTGCACTTTTTTTACTACTTGCTGTTGGTTTGGCAAGTGAACGGCCAACCTCATGATTACCTACATGAGATTTTTCCGAGAGAGAAAATTCAATGAGTCTCCACATCGCTTCAGGAGCACTTACATGATATCTGCATTACGAACAGCAAACCTGTAGGAATAATATTGCAACTATGTAACCTTAACACGTTTTGCAGATCTTCTTCTTCAACATGTTCCAAGTTGGAATTCCAACCGCATTCTCCATTCAGAAATAGAAGAGGATAAATCATAGGATGGCTGCACTGATTAAGTGGTGAAATATTTTTGTTTGTATTAACTGTTAGCAATTGGATAAAAGCAAATATCTCGATTTGCTGGGGGCTCTACTTCATCTCCGACAAATATTGCAGCAACCTCTGTCCTTGAAGTAGGTGCATTATACCTGCACAAGTCGAAATCTAGATGTTCCATAAAAACCATTTTAACATTTACAGCTGGATTAGATTGCATCAATTGATGCATCTGCAGATATGATTCCGCAAATGGATTTATGCTTCGTAATAAAGTGTCCAACTTCTCCATTACAGAGTGAAGGCAGGCTTGATTATTCTCCATACATCTATTCCTTGCTTCACTGGAGTCATATATGTACAATTGTCCATAGCCATGTCTTTTATTCATTTGAACAGAGAGGAGAAACCATATGATAAATCTGACCATGTATATGGAAACACTATGGGCATGTTCCAAGAGGTGCCTTTATTTCAGCCCCCATAGATGCAAAGGCTAATGCAGCATTATATTCTCGAATTTGCTGTTGATAGTTTTTTGCTACCTGTGAACTGGTGCAGAGTAATTGCTTGGGAAGATCAGGAGCTTCTGTCAGATGAACTTTCATATCATGACAGGATTTGGTATAGTTTTTCCTCGAGTTCACTTCGTTTTCACAATAGAATGCATCACAAAATTAGCACACATCAGACATATTGCTACAGATATGTTCCGGGACATTCACCTCAATTTGAGAATGAACACGATTTGCCTAAGTTGATCAGAACGTTTTCTGGCTCGCCTAAGCTTCTCAGCTTTATTTCTAGCTGATCTCCTTTGAAGCGTGCGTTTCATCAAAATTTTCATTTTAAATGTCCGAATGCTGTTCCTCCGCAGATTATAATAAAGGTCTTGCAGACTCATTTGCATCAAGAAATTAACGAAATGTTGAAAAAAAAGCACTTGCAGCACTGCCGCCACGCTTCGACCATAGCCGAATGTAAACAAACCGGTCGTTGCCATCGTAAGAAAAGACTTTTTCCGCCACGTTCTATTTCCGCTTTAGCGTTTTATATATACAGATTTTCATTGCATATATTCATATTTTTATGCATGTGTTTGTATATATTGCGGAATAAAGTTGATTCATCTTTTTAAAAAATTTTTAAGATAATTCTTTTCGAATTTGTCAATTGCAGGGCATAAGAGAAATTCGTTATTTTTGAATATATCAGTATATATGGCTTGTTAGAATTTTTAAAAAGCAGATAACATTTAAACATGTATTATAATCTATATATATAAAACGCTAAAGCGGAAATAGTACGTGGCGGAAAAGTCTTTTTTGCCGATGGTAACGACCAGTTTGTTTACAATTGTAACGGTCGTAACTGATAATTCAGAAATAAACAGAATCTTCATTTTTTCCTCCAAAACCTGAACTTTTTCGACATTTCTTAATCTGAACCTTTTTTGTGAATACGGGAATGATAGCCTTAGCAGCTATAAATCCCCCAAAGCCTTCAAATCAATCCAAAAGCTCCTGATCTTTTCAAGGAAATACTCTGCAGCAATTTACAGGAAGCAAAAAACTATCAACAGCAAATTCGAGAATATAATGCTGCATTAGCCTTTGCATCTATGGGGGCTGAAATAAAGGCACCTCTTGGAACATGCCCATAGTGTTTCCATATACATGGTCAGATTTATCATATGGTTTCTCCTCTCTGTTCAAATGAATAAAAGACATGGCTATGGACAATTGTACATATATGACTCCAGTGAAGCAAGGAATAGATGTATGGAGAATAATCAAGCCTGCCTTCACTCTGTAATGGAGAAGTTGGACACTTTATTACGAAGCATAAATCCATTTGCGGAATCATATCTGCAGATGCATCAATTGATGCAATCTAATCCAGCTGTAAATGTTAAAATGGTTTTTATGGAACATCTAGATTTCGACTTGTGCAGGTATAATGCACCTACTTCAAGGACAGAGGTTGCTGCAATATTTGTCGGAGATGAAGTAGAGCCCCCAGCAAATCGAGATATTTGCTTTTATCCAATTGCTAACAGTTAATACAAACAAAAATATTTCACCACTTAATCAGTGCAGCCATCCTATGATTTATCCTCTTCTATTTCTGAATGGAGAATGCGGTTGGAATTCCAACTTGGAACATGTTGAAGAAGAAGATCTGCAAAACGTGTTAAGGTTACATAGTTGCAATATTATTCCTACAGGTTTGCTGTTCGTAATGCAGATATCATGTAAGTGCTCCTGAAGCGATGTGGAGACTCATTGAATTTTCTCTCTCGGAAAAATCTCATGTAGGTAATCATGAGGTTGGCCGTTCACTTGCCAAACCAACAGCAAGTAGTAAAAAAAGTGCAGTAATAATGCTACTTCAAAATTTGATGCCTTCAAAAGGCCTGTGCAGCCTGCTGTACAACAAAGCTAATAGTGACAAAACTACAACGTAACGTTATTGAAGCAGAAATGATTGAGTCAAGTTCAAAAGAAACATTTTTAATTCCCAGAATACCGCTCATCCAATCGGACAATAATATGCCTTTTAGTTTTAAAAGAAAACAATTCCCTACACATTTGGCATTTTCTATGACCATTAATAAATCCTAAGACAAAACTTCTAATAAAGTGTGTTTGGTATTAACTAATCCTGTTTTCACACATGGCCAACTTTATGTTGGCTTGTCTAGAGCCAGGTCATTTGATAGCATTTCAATTATCTCTTCGACCAAAGAGGTATGTCATTGTGTTTTCAGAGAAATACCGTGAACATTAACATAACCCTTTTATATGTATGTAGCTTATATTTTGTATATAACTTAAATTTTGACCTGCAATACAGTATTAATTTTTTTTTAAAATGTATATCAATTGTTTAAGAGAATTCTTTTTTTAGTGTAATGATGTAGTGCAAATTTGCTCATTTATTAAGTGTCTTATGCAAGGATGTCTGACTTTTACGGTGAATAATAATGGAAATTTTTCAAATCATGTTTTGTATATACAGGAATGAAATTTTTGTAATGTTCAGAAGGGCAATATATTGTATTTACAATGCATATATTCATGATTTTATGTATGTCTTTGTATATGTCGTGGAATAAAGTTGAATCATTTTTTAAATAAATGTTTAAGAGAATTCTCTGATACATCAATGCCTGTTGAATTTGACTTCCTGATGCTTTCACTACATAAAAAACGGTCCTTTTCAGGGCCAAAAAATTTTAATCTTTCTTGACTAAGGTGAAAGCATTAAAAGGAAATCAGCTTACGACTTTTATTTATTCATAATACTGTCTTTTTTTATGCTCATAGTGATAAGATGCAAGACCACAATCTCTTCATTAATAATAATAAATCTAATTTGTTTTTAATTAGTTTTTAGAATAATTATATTGTTTTGCAACTCTTATTCATTTGGTTATCACTTTCATAATTTTCTTTGTTAGTTTTATTTGAAGAAAAATATCTTTTTGAGGCTAAAATATTTTATCCTGTGCTGATTTAAATTAAAGCATCAGAAGCAAAATATATATATAAAGCTGATTCATATATATATATATATATAAATTTTACAATATTTTTGCTAAGACACGTAGTGTTTTCATTGTAGCAAGCGAATCGAGCAAGGTTTGGGTAGCAAACACGGCAGGATTGCAATCCTCCTTGGGATTGGCGATCTTTCGCGAGCAGGGGCTGAGCCACCTAGAAATAACTAATTTTATTTTAAAAATTAGATTACGCCTACTTGAGTTGGCTTATCTCTCTCCCTCCGCAGATCCACTTCCATACTCATATATGGTTAATCAAACTTTTTATATTACAAGTATTTAAGTTATTGTTACGCACTTATTACATGTATTTAAACCAGTATACTGTCTTAAATACTTCCAGTATATTTTTATACTGGTTCAAAATTTCCAGTATGTTTTCATACTGGTATCAAAATTTCCAGTATGGTATCATACCGGCTTCAAGATTTCCAGTATGGTTTCATACCGGCTTCAAAATTTCCTGTATGGTTTCATACCGGTTTCAGAATTTCCAGTATGGTTTCATACCGGTTTCAAAATTTCCGGTATGATTTCATACCGGCTTTAAAATTTCCAGTATGTTTCTACTGGTTCCGGTATCATTTTTACTGGTTCCGGTATCATTTTGATGCCGGTATTTTGAATTTTTTCCAATAGGGTTTATTTGGTTCCTTTCAGATATTAAAAGGAAAAATTCTGCCAAAGTGAAACACTTAAAAAAGAAACTTAGCTTCTTAAAGGATATTTTTTTTATAGAAAAAGATGAAATGAATTGTTAGAAAAGTTCAAACATCGTTCATTGTTTAAAAGATAACATGGCGTTTGACCCCCACTTTACGAGTGATATGAGAGGATTAAAACTTCCCATGTCGAGAATCGACCCCATACGGCCTGGATGAAATCCAGGAATCCTAACCACTAGACCATATGAGAATGGTGGCCTACCCTGCACACGTGTTAGGAGGAGGCCAATTTTTTTTCAAGAATATCAGTACTAGAATAAGCTTACCAAGCATACTTACCTTCACGCAATACGCATTGTGGCAGATAAGTCGGTAACTGCCCGCCCACACATTTAATGGTTTCTTCTTCTCCTTCTACTTTGAGATGACTATACTTGCAGCTCACATGAACGTAGGAATCTTCTTTAAAATTTAAAGTTTTATACTTGGTGGTTTCTGTTGACCATTCTCCCACACAAGCTCCACCATAGCAGGTTGCTGAACAGAGAAAGAAAAAGACCATCAGGTATTTCGATGAATGAAATCTTAAAACTAAACCCTGCTCAACCATAGACAAATCCGTCCTGCAGTTTTGGCCTGAAATAGATACTGTTCTTTTCAGAAAGCCGCAAATATCACTTCTGGACGATTTTACTCCGCACAGGCGTGGTGTAAAATGAGTTAGATTAACGCTTTTCCGGAGTTCTTTGTCAGGCAGAGTTTCCTTTTAGTTATTCCTTTTCAATATTAATATTCATTTTCTTTCGAAAAGAATTTTTTGAATCGAGCATTTGGTTTTAGAAGTAAACATCTACTCCCGCATCTTTCATCTCAACTCTATTTTGTAAAATCAAAGCCGACTGGCGCATGCGCAAAGTGTGGAGGGTTTACGCTTCTGAAAACAGACAGCATGTCAAGTGAAAGGAATGAAAGAAAGGAAACGAACCTTCTCTTCGCATCTCAAACATGTGACTTATTCCATTTGTACAATAAAGGCACAAAATAAGTGACTTTTTACTTTTAAAACTAATTTTAAAATAAAACATGTTAATAGAAAACATACAGTACATTCGATAATTAAACGGGCGTTAAATTTTTCCTTTAATTTTTACACCACACTGTTGATCCTCGCAAATACTTAATAGAAGTTCATAACTTAAAAGATATTAAGCATTTTTCAGCAGGGGAAACGCACGCGATTTGCATTCATGAGGACCATGGTTCTGTTCCCACCTGTTGCGTGTTTTACTGAAAGTCTCTACAAACCCTGAAAACTTTCTTCTGATCTTGCAAAATCGTCTCTCTAAACACACAACTCAACCATGTTTTGTATAAAAATCACATGGCTTTCATGTATTATGCAAATGAGGGTGGAACGTCACACCTGTTCACCAGAGACTACTACTATAAAAAGGCTGTTTCTGCTGGGTTGTACGTTAAAGCTGGAGGTTATGGCAAAATTTGGCATTAATGAGTATTGCGAGATGTTGTTAATGTACGGTGAACGTGGGCGTAAGGCAAAATCAGTTGCAAGGCTGTATCGTGAACGTTTTCCTGAAGGACCGCATCCTACACGGCAGACCATTTTAAAAGTTGTAAAACGTTTAAGGGAGACAGGCTGCGTGACTAGCCGACCTCGAGTTCGCAGATCTCGTAATGTAGGACGCAAAGTGCAACATGAAGATGTGCTAGCTTACGCTGTCGCCCATCCTCAGAGAAGCACAAAAATGATCAGTGAAAATTGTGGCCTCTCAAAAAGCCGTGTTTGGACAATCCAGAATGAATCAGGTGCTCATCCATACCGATCCACACCTGTGCAGGCATTGCTGCCAAGAGATGCCTAGGACGTTACACGTGGTGCAACTTTGTGATGAAAAAGTTAGAGGACCACCCAACATTCCTGGAAGACATAATATGGACGGTTGAGGCATGTTTTTTGCGTAACGGGATGTTTAATAGACAGAATGTTCATACCTGGTCGCTGGAAAATCCGAGATATGCTGTCGAAGTTCAACATCAACTACGCTGGTCGATTAATGTTTGGTGCGGAATTTTTAATTGCAGGCTCATTGGACCAGTATTTTACGAGGGAATGTTAACAGGACAACGGTACTTGGAGCTTCTGCAGGATGTAATAATCGACTTTGTTGAGAATCTACCGTTGCACCAACTCCGAAATGTATGGTTCCAACATGACGGCGCCTCTCTATGCATAAGATTTCAAACGTTAAGCAGTACCTAATGGAGACATTCCAGAATCAAGTCATCTGGTATGGTGGTTTCGTAGAGTGACCCCCGCCCTCACCTGACTTGACCCCATTGGACTTCCTCTTATGGGGACACATAAAAGGGCAGGTATACGCGACCCCTCCGCCAACATTGCAGGATCCTTGACTGCATCATATCTTGACATCTTACTGATGCTTGTGCCTCCGTAACACCTGCCATGTTGCACAATGTGCAGCGAGTAATCCAGTCCAGAGTGCAAATGCGTATAGTGGATAACGGAGAGCATTTTGAGCAATATAAATAAATGCTCCAGAAGACAGGGACGTGTCTCACTTTTTTTCTTCCACTCTTTATGACATGACAATTTTCAAAATCGTGACCAAACAAATGTTCATTTTTTGCATTCTGTTTTGAGTATTAATGTGCACAAGGTATCTTTTCGTACTAAATCGAGAGTGCTCTACAACTTTCTAATTGACTTTTTCCTCGTATCTTTCAGCGTTTACGAGATAGGATCGCGAATTCCAAAATTTGCCGATAGATGGCGTTGTAAGTTGTCTCATCGAGTAGCGCATAGCCTTTTGACTGTACCTAGACACCAACTTTATGGTCTAAGCTGTCACCGTTTAGAAGTTAAGGGGGTGTAAAGGATATAAGTGGGAACCCTGTATAATGACTTAAACTGTAAGTGACACCTGGGTATGTTATTATTGCTTTCGTATTCCCATCATATTTGATTTTATAAAGTGGCAGAAACGTACAAAAGCTTCTTCTCCATAATGCCCATTAAGACTGCCGCCTGTGTATATCTACAACATCCCTCCTTTCTCTCCGTCTCTACGCCACTGCAGGGAATTAAGTTACTTACAGAGTGATCAGCCAGTGGCGTAGCGACCGGGGCACAATACGATTTCTGCCCCCGTAAATCATCAGTGACAAAGCAAGAGTAATGGCCCAAAGGCTACTGCATTAATTTTTGCGCCCCTTCTAAAAGTTTGCTTTAAAAAGTAGCATATAGACATAAATACTTTGCCTTCTTGGTGTCCTATAAAACTCATGTGAAGGAGTCATACAATACATTCCCTTGTTAATTCCACACTAATCGCACCAGAGACCTCAGATATGGGGTTAAGGAGCCGCCAGATAAGTAAGCGGGTTCTTGCTACTCTATGGGTATAATAATGGACTGTGGTCGATTACCTCCACTCTGACGACTGAACGTACCTCTGCGGGAGGGGTTAGGATAAGAACGGTGATGGCCAGTAGAGCTCCTCCTTCATTCGCCGTGTTGATGTCATGAGGACTATAATTCACATTATCCCGGAGCATAAAGCGGAGCTGGTATAACTCTTTTATGATTACCCCATCACTAGTCCCTTCAATGGGACACCACGCGTATGTGAATCAGAAGTCGACTATAAGTAAGCGGTTTGTCGCTTCTCCTAGGGAGGATCGTGTTTATGGAGGTGTTTATTTATCTATTTATCACGCACGCACGCCCAACCACTCACCCATAGGATATGGAGAGTGTAATGGATGTGTTATCAGCTCTGATGACGGGTGAAAGCTATGGGCCAGTGATGGATATTCTGTAGCTCACCTTAAGATCCATGTCAGTATTTGTGGTGGCCGATCATTTCGGATACCGGTCACGCCGGACAGCCCATTTCTAAGGCGGGGTGACTTCTATGTGGATTAAAGCGGCCATAACACAACTGAATATCGCTGTGATAATTTATGCCGTCTGAGCAACCAAATGATTACAATGTCATTATCAGGTGTTGGATGTAACGTTTCGACACTGTACAGACGGTACTTCTGATACTAGCTACTATTTTCTCTGAATTTAGCAGCAGTGGCTCGGCAAAGGTAAATGGTGCCCGGTGCAAAATAATGCGTTTCACCCTCCAACGTCGTATATGATCTTAAAAAGTGAAATTAACGCGATAATTAGTTGTGCCCGAGACTCACTCCACGACTTGCGCCCGCAGCATCGATAACCCCTGGTCCCCCGTTCGTTACGCCACTGCGATGAGGGAGGAGGAGAAAAAAATAGTGTTTTACCCCCTTGAAGATCTCTGGACACTAGCATTCAGCCATAGAGAAAAAACCCATTGATACAGCATCTCTACTGCCCGGAGAGACAAAGTTTAGGTGTGAATGGCGCATTGTCCAACAAACGTATTCTTCTATCCATTAACAAGTATCAGGATTTGAGAAACAAAGAAAACAAACTGAACTGATAGCTTTCCAACTTAACTTTTAACTCAACGACTAATTTAAATTCCTAAATCGAAGTGTTTTACGAATATTTGGTAGCTGGATGAAGGAAAATCTCAAATCTGATTTTTATACACGTTTTCATTTAACTTGACTTGCTTCATGTTTGTAAAGATGATATTTTGTAGTCGATTTTTCACTTCCTTCTTGATGCACTAGAGTTATGAAACTTTCTGCATCTGTGTATTCTCAGTAACAATACACAATTTTCATATTTTCAGAACTTAATTGTTAATTTATCGCTTAATTTCATTCAGATGTTCTTATAACGACAGGCGCCATCTGGTAGTGAATTTTAAAAACTAATTACAAGGCACTTGAACGAGGGGCGCCATCTGGTAATGAATTTGAAAAACTCATTACAAGGCACTTGAAATTTGTGGAGCAATCTGGTAGTGAATTTGAAAAAACTCATTACAAGACATTTTTATAGAATAATGAAAAATATTAAAGGCTAAAAAGTAGAAAATAGTAAAAACAAAGAAGATTTCCTTTTTTAAAAAAATAAAAAAGCACGCTTTTATTAGATTACTAACATGTACCAAAATAATTTTTCATTCTAAATCTAAAAGCCAAATTAAAAATAATAAAACGTGAGACGCTGAAAAAATATAACACAGAAATTAGGATAGGCAGACTGTATCAAAAGACAGAAAATTCTTCAACTTTCGTTAAAAATTAAAATAAGTTATGACATGTTTA